AACCCAACACATATTGTTCGAAACACAATCAGCATGCAAAGCACGGTAATGCTACGGTGGTCTGAGGGCACAACTCCACCAGAAAATATGTAAAAAAAATAAGTGCTATGAGATTAAATCTGGAAGCAATTTTGCATGAAATTTAGCTTAAACAATTGCATGCACAAACGTCCAATAAAAGATCAAAAATCACCATTCTGTTGTAACAGTGCATGGGGAGTTAGACTTAAATTAACATAGATATGTTGGTTTTATTAGAGTAAGGTACTATACCATATACATGCATAGTAGTTATTAGTTGTTAATTTATTTTACTAAATACCATAAGTAGCTGCGCTATAACTATATAAGCATAATTGTTTTACATCACAAAAATATGGGGTTCAGCCAACCCCCCTCGAACCCCTAGCGTGCATTTTATTGCAAAAATATGCTCATCCTAACGTTAACATTTATATTTTTATCGTGTGTTATTATAAGCAGACTTTAAGACTTATATAACGCAACTTTTTAGACACGTGATCCTAATCGTGGTGTGAAACTATTAAAATAATCCTGTCACACGTTTCACTATTTTCTGACGTCGTATACATACAACAACGTTGTAGACAGCCAATGTGTTACCCCAACCATGGTAAACATTATCATTATAGCTTCATCAATATAGAACTTTAATTATTTTACTTAGCCATTCCATAACACGAATATGTAGTTTAATTATCTGCTTGTCTCGCTTGAAACCAAAGTTATATGGACGTTCTGCTTTTGTGTCAGTCAATAATTAACTTTCTATGTAAACGTTTCTGAATGCGTGAAATAACCAGCCTAAATTATTCGTTTGGTTCGAAATGCACGTATGAGCACAATCCAGACTAGTTAAGATCCACGTAAATCATAAATATAATTTTTTTTAATTAACGTAATATTAGAAACGTTATGGAAAATGAGTTTTGTTGTTACTTATAAAGAAGTCGTAAATAACTTAGTTTGGTTAGATTTCATAGAATGTTGCCTTTTGATGGTTGTGTTATCTTACTGTAAGACAATTTAAGCGAACAATTACGCCTAAGCCATTCAAGTGACCATCCGAACAGGTCTGATCAACTTTATCGCCTCTCTCTCTCTCTCTTTTTCGCTTTTTAAATTCACAGTTATATGTCCGTTTTGGCTTTTTTTCATTATTAAATGGGCTAAAATAGAATGATCTGTTAATGATCGGTTTTTGAAAGCTTATCGTAACACGAGATAACATGATAAATTCGGGCGAATAATTAAATATATGGCAAGAAATGGCTTATTGGAATTAACTCGGGTAAGTATTTTTTGAAACATGGAGTTATCTCAGGCACGTCATGGAATAGGTTAGTAAATACATCTAAGCTGTAAAAGGTTTTATTGTGAATTACGTTGGTGTTAGACATAATAGTGTTATTGTTGTTTTTTTTAGTGCAGAGTTACACAATGGGGTATCTGCGCTATGTCCAACGTGGGAAATATAACCCTGGACTTTAACGTTGCAAGTCCGTAAACTTACCGCTTACTCGCCGGGGGAATACTAGCTAAATGTTTGTTGTTAAGCATAAAGCTAAATAAGGCGTGTCCGCACTGTACCTACCGAGGGGAATCGAACCTCGAATTTTAGCGTTTTAAATCCGTAAACTTATCGCTAACCCACCGGATGATATTATTATCAATCTTGTGTGTAACAGATTAGGTTAGTTTAGTCTGAACGACTCTTCATTGGAATGTTAAAGATTATACTCGTTTTTAATCATCAGAATTACAGCGCTAATTGTCATTGAAAATGTTACTTCAAATTCATATTTTAATCATGATTTACTGTTATTTTAGTATAACGATTAAAGTATAGAGGAATTATTATTTTACATTATAAATTAGCTCCTTACGCCTTACGCATTAGCGTTAACGTTCTACGAGTTCTAAGTTACATATAATTGCAGAACAGAACGGTGCTGTACAATATCAACATTTTACACCTAACTTCTTTCTGTCGGTTTCAGTGTTTCTTTTGTGGAAAGCTGAAACAAATTTATACGCGAAGAAACTAATAATTTTAAAAAGTAGCATATACTTCAAAGTTTCTTCCATCCCTTCATTATCTATAATAAACGTAAAGACCAACGATTTTGTTTGATTCCTCAATCTGATGTAAGACAGTTTTCGTTGGCTGTTTCACGTCAATAACGAGCAGTTTGGATCAGTCCTGTCATCTTTCGCTATGTGTCAAAATGTTACCAACGATTCTGAAAGTTTTATAAGCAAGCAACATTAAAAATAATTTCCTAGAATAGTCGCGAGATTTTTGACGTCAAGGCTCATAAGTTTTGATTAACTTCAGTTAGTGATAAATTGAGTTTGACACGTGACTGTAAAACCCGCGTCTGAATTATACCATGTAATGGATTACGTCAGAGCAGTTACTGAGTGGATGAAAAATATTTTTGCTACGATATCAGAGATTACAAGACGTCTAAAAGACGGGAGGAAAACGATTGCTAATACCTGATATTGACAAGCAATTATTTTAAATAAAGCTCTAATATCTGTTTAAAGAGTTGGATTGGTTATTGAGGCCTTATATTGAGGCCGCTATTATATATATATTGTTTCTAGAATTTACAAGAACATTTTAATTGTATTTCAAAACTTTTCAAGCTAACGATGGTATTCATATAAATATCAAATAATAATGTATCTTGAGTTAAGAAAATGTGATGTCAGTAAAAATCTTAGTTAATTTAAGTTGGAACTATAGAATTTTAAAAGCTATACATTTTATAAAAGGGTGGGTTGATGGGTAAAATTTTAGTGTAAATAAAAGATGAGTTATGGAGAAAGGAGACCTCACTGTGGTTTTCATACGGCCTGTCAGTATTAGTAGAGGTTTGTACCAAAGCCATTAGAGCAATACAAGTAAATGTTTGCGTGTCAGAATTAGTAGAAGTCTGTGCAAAATCAGTAGAGTTATGTGTCAGTACGAGTAAATGTTTGTGTGTCAGAATTAGTAGAGGTCTGTGCAAAATCAGTAGAGTTATGTGTCAGTACGAGTAAAGCTGTGTATTAAGACAAGTAGTGTGTGTGTGTCAGTGCTTATTAAAGTTTGTACCAGTAGTGGTAATGGAATGCTAGCAGTAGTTTGTCGAAAAATAAAACATGAAAAAATTAATTTGCCAAATAATCAAGTTTTACAATACAAATATTTAAATGTAGTCACTGTCTTATCGAAACTGAAAATTGTTTGAAGATGCGTGAAACTCTTACGACTTATTATTTTTTTTTTGAAAGTATAACAAATGGTGTTGTTCACGAACACTGTGACTTACAAACGCCATGACAAGGTAAAGCTCTAAATACAATTAGGGAGCATGAAAAGTGATTATCGGGTCTATACATGAACTTGTCCAAAGTGCTATTCTGACATAATGTGACTCAGGAAAAGTCTTTTGTGGTCACTTAACTTAGGCTTACAGAAGATAAAAAAGATTTAGGAGCAATTAAGAAAGTCTTTTATTACTATATCCAAGAGCATTTTTTATACGAAATATTTAAGTACGTTGCGAATGTCCCAAATATTGCAGGGTTAGGCTTAAACTGATCAATATCTTTGAGTATTTAAACCAATAACCTTATTGATTAAAAACAACATAAAAACAGTCATTGGCCTAAGTAGGTTATTTATGTAAATCCTAATGTTTTTGTTGTTGAATATTTTTAGAGATAAAAAATTTAGCAGAAGAACTTTTAGTTCACTAATGATTTCTTTTGATGCTCGAAACAAGATTTTGTGACACGTTTCATTGATATTAAGAGTATATAAACATTTCAAAACCTATAAGTGGAGGCTCAGAAAATCTGTATTCGTAAACAGTTAAGTCTTTTAAGCATTCTTTTATCTGCAACATTTCATTTTTCATTCTAAGAGTACTTAAATATACTTAACCTTTTTTATTTATGTTTAACTAATTTCTGGTGATAAAAATAAGCCTTTTATTTGCTCCAGCTAGCTGTGCCTCTAGCATATTTCTAAAAATGGGGCACGTACCTTCTAGAATGTTCTAATGCTGTGGCTATTATACTGATGTCCAAATCAAATAACATTCCATACATCTAATTTAGCAGTGTAAGACTAGGGTGAAGGCAGCTAGTCATCACCACCCACCGCCAACTTTTGGGCTACTCTTTTACCAACGAATAGTAGGATTGACCGTCACATTATAACGCCCCCACGGCTGAAAGGGCGAGCATGTTTGGTGTGAGGGGGATTCGAATCCGCGACCCACAGATTGCGAGTCGAGCGCCCTAACCATCTGGCCATGCCGAGCCCCATAATGTGCTTATAGATAAAACAAGCAAACTATAATTTGATTATTTGCAAGAGAAAGATAACATTATTTCATAATTATTAAAAAGCGCTTTAAATGTCTTTAGTTATGGTGACTTTTTTATTAGTTTTGTTATCATATTAAAAGTCACAAAGTTCTATTTATTAGTCGTTCAATCCAATATGAAGTTAAAAAATATTTCTGGTGAATTCGAAATCACACATGTTTTTAAAGTGTGATGTCAATGAGTGGTCAAATTCCATTTTATCTGCCCCTAGTGGCACAACGGTAAGTCAGAAGGCTTATAATGCTAAAAACCGGGTTTCGTTACCCGTGATGGGCACAGACAGCCCATTGTGTCGCTCTGTGCTTGATAACAAACAAACCATCATATCTGAATATTTTAAGTTTTCAGATATAGGTTAGTCAAGTTCTATGTATATTATTACAAAACAAATCATGTTGGAAAACTAACCTTTTAAGGTGTTTATTTTGTGTGGCACATGGGGAAACTAGACTTTTAATTTTGCCATGTTTTAGGACAAAAGTACAGAAATAGTTAAACCTATTATGCATGTGCATATATATATAAAACCATTGAGAGGCAAATAAAAGCATAAGAATCATACAATACTAATGTCAGCATATTTCTCTTACCTGACTTAATAGCTGTAAACATTCTGTATAGTTGGTCCAATTTCCCCACAGCCAATCACCATTTTTGTCACAAATCCTATAGGCACGCGCTGAAAAAGCAACAAGCTTCATGTTGTAAAAAAAGTTTCACAACAGACAGCAATAGCAATCAGCTTTTTCCTAACAATAAAATAATTTCAAAATAATTAAACAAGAATGAAATCCAAAAAAAAGACAATTGGAGATACACGGAACATAAAAAAGTATGAATACACAACATATTCTCCCAATATTTAGTGAAATTATAATAAGATATTGGTTGAAGAACTACTTTTAAGGGTAGTTGCTAAAAGTGTTTCATTCCTCTAGTGCACAAATCAACAACTTAAACCAATAAATTTTGTGCTTTATAAAATGCAAACACGAACAGGATTTGGAACCAATATTTGTGTGAGGGGGGGGGGCATGAAATCTGACTTAACTAATCATTGTGGATATCGTGTATACTATATGTTACAAAAAAGTACGGTTTCTGCTTCCTCTTGCCCCCACCCCTCCTGTAATCTTGCCTATAAATGTGACCATATTGGCTACAGGCTTGTTTAAAACAATGCAGGAAGAAAGCATTTGTTTTATGGTTCATATTGTTTTAGATGTGTTATTCTCATTATTCCTGTCAATACAATTCTCGTAGTTTAAACAAATCATTATTATTTATTGTTAACATTCGATCTCTTCCTCAACTGGAGGCGAAGTAGTGCTTTAGGTGGCAAGGAACAAGAAATTATAGTAATCGTTTCTTGGAGGTGTTATGTACATACACCCTTGGAAATTACAAAGGCCGCTGTATCCAGATATGCAATCCATATGATGGTAACTTATTTTAGCCGGGAGTAATGAGGGTTTTGGAGTGGCCGCACCTTCTTATCAACAACCGTCACTGACATGAATTGGTTATCTCTTTTTTGATATTTTAAAATCCAATTATGCGACCTTTCTTCATTGTCTGTTTGAGGTAGCCGCAGACCTTGATCTTCTGACCTGTTGGAAGGCTACTACTACTACTACTACTACTACTACTACTACTTTTCTTATCAGCCCCAAACCAGTTTTTGAATGTCGCCACAGCATCTTTGGACTAGATAAGTGGATTTGTCTCAACAAGGGCTGTCAAAACTTCCATCGTGATCGCTTAAATAGCAGCTGCACAGGCTGCAAGTCGAGCACCTCTGAAACTTGCACGTGCAGGCAATCGAGGGAATACTGTGGAGAATGATGATGACATATCAAAGAGTAGCAAAGTTTCAGTCACGGTCAGCGGGGCTTGGAGCTAGTTGCTGAAAAAGCTCTGTTGGGCTATGGTTTAAAAAAATAGATGTAACGACTGGCGAAGAAGAAGTAGGTTCACGTAACAGGCCAGTCAGTTTCTATATGGTGAGTAGAATGGCCACACCATCAACAGAAACACCAGAGTTAATGACAGTACTTCTGGTTGTATTAGACGGTACGACTGGCGAAGAAGTAGGTTCACGTAACTGACTGGCCTGTTTCTATATGGTGAGTAGAATGGCCACACCATCAACAGAAACACCAGAGTTAATGACAGTACTTCTGGTTGTATTAGGCGGTAGTTATGTCTTAACTTAAAATCTCTTACAGCTCAAGTTTACTCATAATTGGAATGACATCTCCATCTTCTAAAATACTCTAGTTTTAAAACAGGTTTTTGCCAACAATTTGCAGAACACGTGCATTTGTATAAAAAAAAAACTTTAATATGTTTCTTTAAAGGAAAATACAAAATAAAGTTTGACAATATTTGACAACGACTTTTTCAATTCTCGATTGCTCTTCATATGAAAAAAATGTTAAAATATATTTTTGGTAACAATTAATGTTTCATATTTTTAGTACCTTATTTGAATTTCAGTGAAAAGGACAGGCAGATACAAGATGTACACAATATTCAATATATCACCAACAATTCACTGATTCTTAAACTAGAAAGCATGCTCACCTTCTCCTACGACATTGAGATCAATAGGTAGGGCATGCTGATCGAAGATTTCAGAGCAATTTCTAGAAACAACTTGATCAGCTAATGTTGCAGGCCAACAATAAAAATCATCCCAGATTGTTGGACAGGAGGGTTCTAAAGAAGAAAATATACAACTTGATCAGCTAATGTTGCAGGCCAACAATAAAAATCATCCCAGATTGTCGGACAGGAGGGTTCTAAAGAATAAAATATACAACTTGATCAGCTAATGTTGCAGGCCAACAATAAAAATCATCCCAGATTGTCGGACAGGAGGGTTCTAAAGAAGAAGAAAATATATTTAAAATTTGATAAAAAGACAGATGGATTGATAAATAGATATATTTATTCTTTAACGTGACTCAATGTTTGTGGAATAAATGGTGTAACTGAGTCATTGTAGTCCAGAAGAGAGAGAATTAAGACAGAATAAATTGAGCCCCTTGATATATATCCTCACACTATAAAGCGTGGACAAAATATCAGCAAACTTGCCTGTTAGTTTACCTTTTAAGAGTGTTAATACTTTAATAATCAGTAGAATAAATATGTATATATATATTTCAAAATATACAAACCTGTAATATCAGAAACAAAATAAATGTTTTAGGACTTACCGAAGGTATGACTTTTGTCACAATTACTTAATATAATTTAATATACAAACGTTTGAAATTTCTATATCTATTGTTATGAACGTATACTGAAACATATGGAATATATGATGTTCACAAGTAAGTTATTGTAATATATTAACATCTAATTATCAAATTAACACCTCTGTTTTTTAACTGGTAGATACATGTAATGTTATCTGATCAAAACATTTTATATGTACAAAAAACTATAGCTTACAATAAAGGGGTCAGCCATATAAAGAGTGATGTAAAAAACAGACAATCTATATAAATGGACACACCGTATAAAGATTAAATGTAAAACTGGGTAAGTTAAACAAGAAAAAAATGAAAAATATCTGGTCCTCTTTTTTGTGTTGCAGGTGGAACAAGCAGCGACCTGGATATAGAAAATGGGACCAAGATTGCCCAGTTTCTTTACGTTATTATATGTGTTACAGTTTTCAACAATCTCCAGTTCAGACTAATATCCATCTGTTTGCTTGCCTATTAATTTTAGTTTTGTGCCAGTCCTCCTTTGCCTTCTATTAGATCGACAAGAAATTAATGTTGCTTTTTTAGATGAAAAAACCCGAACAATTTATATATCAAAACATTAATTTATTAAATGAAATAGTCATCGTTCTTATCGATGATACTTTGCCATCTTACAATCAGGTTGTTAATGCCCTGCTTAAAGATATCATTTGGCTTTGAAGCAAAAAACATGTCGATGTCCTCTTACATATTAAGATGCTGTTGCAGCGAATGAAAATTATGGTAATCTGATAGTGCCATATCTGGAGAATATGGTGGTTGGGGGAGAACTTACCAACCCAACTTCATAATCTTCTGTTGCGTCAAACGTGCCACATATGGACGTGCATTGTCGTGGAGAAGAAGAACACCTTTTCGATTGATGAGTGAAGGGTGTTACTGATGAAGGGCTTGATTTAAACGTTCCAG